CTCAGACATCCCCGGTTTGAGGACTGGGTCACCGAGCAGTGGGGGGCACCGCTGATGCTGGTTGGGTTTGACTCATCCAGTACATCCTCAGCTATCAGCCCGATAGCAAGCCGGGAGTTTCTCACGGATTGACAGTGGGACCTTATTTTCTACATTAAAAAAGTTCACACTGTACAAACATCCCACAGAACAAAAACAACACATCGGCTTAAAGCTGGCGCTTGCCCCTCCCTGGAGCTCTGTGTGAGGTAGCTTCAGCACTGCTGTGCAGCCAGCCTGCTCCAGGGCTCTGTGGCCAGATCCTCGTCCATCCGCTGCTGCGCCTCAGCAAGGTGTGGCCCCTGCAGCTCAGCTTTTCCCCATCCTCGGACCCCAGCAGAGCGGTGCTGGCTGCGTTTGGCTCTTTGTCTGAGGCCCAGTCTCCTTGCGCCTCACGTCCAGCCCCCACTTGCTCCAGCTGGATCACCGAACAGCACCCACCAGCTGTACTAAGCACCTGGGTTTAACCAGTGCACATCCCTGTGGCTGGAACCTGGTCCCCTGGTCAGGAACACTTGTCCGTACAGCCACCCTGGTGGACGACACCCTCTGCACCCCTTTTCAGCAAGGGTTGTAATGTGGGATAGGAAAGAAGAAAACATTATAGATATTATGAAAAACAGGGAGCTATTGGGCTCATATAAATCATTTAGTTTAAGAACATGAGAATTTAAGAAATGTTATGGCCCTTGGCTAGTTAGTAGTTAATTAATCAGGGGATCTCATCCAGCTTTTTCTCAAGAGAACCCAAAGTATCGGCTTCAACAGCAAGGCTGGGTAGCTTGTTCCACACTCCCACAAATACCACGGGACTGAGTGCTTGTTGAACCAGGACACTTCAACAGGCGATTGATCTCCATCGTGCTGGAGCCACAGGACAGTTTTTGTTTGCTGGGAAATTCCAACTTGTGTATCTTACACTGCCGGAACTGTGCTGCAATGACAATTTCTGATTTCTGTTCTTGAATGTTTAAATCTGTGTATAAATACAATTTAAACAGATGTAAACACAGATACACAGATTTTTAAACTTTAATTATAGAGTAAATCTTTTAATTAAAGAGATATTATGTGGCTGTGGTGTTTTTCATTTTTTTAATCACAGACAGGTGAACTGAGAGCAGTTGATGGAGCATCAAGTGAATCAAAAGGAAATGCAGAGTGATCCACATTTTGGGTGTAAATAATAATTGTGCAGCTGGAAGGGCCGTATATCTTCATGCAACAAGGAAATTTATTGCCAGCAAGTGGATTTTGTTCAGTGCAGACAGATGCTCTATTTTTGCCAAGACAAGTCCATGATTCTCTCAGAGTGCCATAAATGTCAGAAATACAGCACAAGGCAGAAGTGAGGGGGCAGGGTGGATGGTTGTGAAATGAATCCCATATAATCCTCTAATGGGAAAAGCCTGCCTGAAATCAATCTGCTTGATTTAAAACCCTGTGAGTGGGGCTTTGTCAAGTTCAAGAGGCACCACTGTCCTCTGTCCCTTTCATCTGTGTACTGTGGTACCATTGATTTCTGATGAGATACGGTCAGGTAACTATAGGAGGATCTGCAACTTATATTTTTTTCGCAGAACTGGAAAAAATAAGTTTTAGTCTTCTTGCAAGCAGTCTGGAAGAGAAAAGCACTGTAAGTAAAAATGAGGAACTTGATTTTGTTGCCTCCTTTCTCCTTTTCTGAATTGACAGTGACTTTTTCTTCTGCTGTTCTTATGGCTGCTGTAAGTCACACTGGCGATGTCAGAATAATCTGTAAGAACCCTAGTGTGCATTTCACAGTTTGATGAAGGTTTATTTCTGGAGATCGAAAAAAGAAGGTCATCCTCTGTTCTTCTCCAAGTTTGGAAGGCTGCAGGATTTGCAGAATGTTTTTATTGCAATTAATATCATACGTTACCTGTTCAGTTGATCCAACTGAAATTCTATTTCCATGGTTTTCTAAACGGTTGTAAATCTGAAGTTTGTAAACCCTCCTGAGTAATGCTGGGTAGTAGCTCTCCAATCTCTACGTTTACTTTGTACTCCGGATGTTACATCTGGGTTATGTTCTCAATCTATGAGTTATTGTTAGTGGTTGTGTATGTGAAATACATTTGAATATAGAATTACTTTGGTATTCCAAATGTCAATCAATAATCCTAATTGTTTTTGCAATTAAAGCCTGGACAAATATGGGATTAAGGGAGGGATTGAGTAATTCTTGGCAGAAAACATAATGTATTTGTAGGCGGGAATCTTTTGTAGTCCACCTTGCAAGTTCATAAACTGCAGGCTGTAATTGAGCACTGACAGGAGACAGTTCCAATACTGACTAGACCTGTCAGCTATACAGCTCTTGTGCTCTTCTGAGGTGATGGCCACCAGCCCAGCTCATGAGCGCATGAGCGTGGCAACCGGCCGCCTCTCGCGACACGAGTGAGAAAGCCAGCTGGGCCCTGCCCCTAAACCCCCAAAACCGAGGGAGGTGGCAGGAGGTTTGGAAAGAGGCGAGGCCGGCATCCAAGCGCAGTGACTTTGGCAGCCGGGGCTCATAGTTCCAGGCCACCGCAAGACCACAGTGGAAAGCAGAGTTCATTTTCACACGAAATGCCAATTAAACATGTATTTTCACAAAAGAAATGTTGTATATAAAACACAAAATCCACAAATGCTCCAGGGTTGGGTTGAACAGCATACAAGAGATATTGCAGACATTCAGAGTCTTCAGTAAAGTAGAGACACACAAGTATAGTGCACATACAACGTGAAGTTCTGTGCATCTACGGTATATTCATACTTCATTTCCAGAACCACTTATTAGTGTCTGTATTTCCAATATAATCATGCATGAAATTGCACAGAGAATATAGAGAGAATATACAAGCATGTACTCACATCATTATACATTATCTGTGAATCCTTCCATTTTGTAATCTCTTTATCTATCCTGAGAAGCAATGGGCTCAAGGCAGGATACACCCTCAATGGTACACCAGATCATCACAGTACAGATACTCACTCACACCAGGGCCAATTTTCCCAGAAACCAATTAACCTACCAGTCCGACTTTGCGCTGTGGGAGGAAACTGGAGCACCTGAAGGAAACCCAAACAAACACAGGGAGAACAAACTCCACACAGATAGCACCTCAGGAATTGAACCCAGGGCCCCAGCGCTGCAAGGCAGCAATACTAATCACTGTGCCAATCCTGTACATTAGTTAACACAAAAAATGATTTTACACACTTATAAAATGTCTTCTGACACACACCAGGGATTCGCAGCCAGTGGCTCTTCTGGTAAGGAGGTTTGCTGAAGCCAGGTTTACCACAATTTCCATTTACGTACTGTTCAAGTCTGGACGGAACTCACAAAAATCCAGTGCAGACTTGCCCCTTCTTCAAACAGAAGACCCACCATCAAATCATGGATTTATAGTCTTAGGATGTAAAACTTTTGATGTAATCCGGGACATGCTCCTCCTGACTGTACGCTGTTTAGCCTTTCTAATACAGTACTTTCTTCCCCACCAGTGTTTCATTCCCTGTCTGTAATTTGGGGTTAAATGCAGTTTGTGATGCATTCGTCCACCACCCTGCATCATGGCAAGACTTCGTGTTTTTATACAGCCTGTCCTAGACCTGCTGTTGCTGTGTGGGAGGAAGAGAGGAAGAAGGAAGGAAGAAAATACCGAAGCAGAGAAGGAAGAGAGAAGAGAAGAGGGATACAGAAGGGAGTAAGGTTGATTCCTGTCAAGTGAGTGGGAGCAAACTCCATACCATTAATCCTGGGCTTTATTGTCCTTTAATGCCAAAACCAACAGGCAGGAGTTTTCAAGGAGGCAGCGGTGACAGTTTTATTTGCTTTATTAAAGCAGATTCGTTTTGTTTTTCTCATGCTTGGTCAGCCACTTAATGCTTGAATCCCTCAATCTAGTGCAGACATAACCCAGACTCTTGCCTTTTGGGTTCGAATGGAGTGAGGGGGTGTGAAGATATAAGCAGGCAAGACGTGTCCTCTGACTTTCATTCCCACTAATCTCGACTTGCTTTTTGAGGCCTCAAGGGTGTCTTTAAAAGTTGAGTGGGAATTTGCAATTATTATCGTCATATACTCACCTGTCAATTACAACTAATGAATCAAACCTAGTCAGAGCAGTTTAAAGAGGTAGGAGTAAACTCTCAGCAATAACCCAGTTGAACACAGCAGAAACATGCAGACTTCACACAGCTAGTCCTAGCTGCAATAAAACTCAGGATGCTGGAGCTTTAAAAAGACCTAATGAAGCAAGTACTACAATGAAAGGAATTAATTGTCTCAGTTAATGTAGGGCTTGGCTTGAAGACAAACAAGAAGATACAGGAGTTCTCTGAGACCAGTGGTAAGAACCTTGGTGTAAGACAATTATAACACAACATTGCGGATGCACAAAGGCTCAGAACCTTGTCCTGTGAACATACTGTACAGCTCCTATTGTCTAACTGTGCATTTCGATTAGTATGAAACTAAGAAGTTACAGTCTGGAGAAAAGCAATCTCTGTTACTGAGGAAAAGCAAAATAAATTAGAGCCTGGAGATGCATTTTTATAATTTAAATAGAACATTTTTTTGAACGCCACAGGATCATTAAAATTAATTGTAGCTGTTTTTCTTTCCTTTACAATTCTACGGTACGACCTGTACCATTTTATTTTGCTGTTGGCTTCTTAATTCTGGATGTACCTAGACAATTCTAGTACAGTATGTGGCTGCATAACACATTGTAGAAGAATCCCTTAAAAGAAAGCCATTGGACTGCTTACACCCGCACATTGTGCTGATGTTACTCTGCATTAAAGGAACTTAAAATTTACCCAGTTACTACAATACACTTAAGTATTTTGTTTCACTTGTCATAGAGCATAAGGTTTTAAAAGCCATTCCACACAGTTTAACTTAAATATACTGAATTAAAAAAAAAGAAACAGACTATACATAATCAAGAAATTAAGTTTATTAAGTTAAAATAAATACAATAACAAAATTCTTCAACACAGCATAATATGAAGTAAAACTGCATTGAAGCCTTTATGGCTCAGGAGTCATCCTTCAAAATTAAGAATTGTAAGTGGATTACAGCAGTAGCTGTGAATATTGCATCAGCTATATCTCCTAAGGCTACAGGTTAGATTTTGCATATATATTGTTTATGTTTTCTCTTTAAAAGCTCAGTGCCCAAAATAAACCCTTGTTTGCCACTATACAGTTATCAAGATTTTGTTGTACTTTGGTTTTAACCTTTGATAAAGCCACAACTTTCACAGCAATTATCTTTTCTAAATAGCATTACGTTTATTAGCCTTCATGAAAAATGTAAATGCAGAAAGGGAATTGGTATAAAATTGCATATGTAATTTTATACCACAGAATATATGAAGTCATTATAACCTGTTCCTTCAAATGAACCACTACCAACTCACCCATTTACTGTGACTAAGGTTAGCTTTTGACCCAGAAGTTAACACCACCATTTATTTAAAAAGCAAAAAGACAAAGTTTCAATCACATTAGAACACACTCCCAAAAAAAGGAACATGTCAGTGGTAGATGGACAACTAACTACTACCAACTGACATGTTAAGATGGCCTTTTTTGTGACCAAAGGCTGATGATTTGCATAATAATGTAACTGAGACATTATGAGGGACTTAATTCCAAGTAGTTTCCTCAAGTGCCGAGTTCAGCAATTAATTAGGGGGCGAATCTTATATAAGATGAACTGGAATGAAGATCTTCAGGATCACAGCTCAGGACCCCTGATCTGGAGTTATAAAATCAAGTGATCAAACAGAAATGAGCTGCTCTATTTTGTGTATTAAAAACTGAGAAATGCAGTGGGCAGAAGATTCTCTCTATAATTTTCATGAGAATGGATACTGTAGTATCACAGTGTCGAGACTGAGGCTGATTCTTGTTTTTAAATACACACGCTATTCCCAGTTTCTCGTAAATACTAATTCCCAATTTGAATTCCATTTGCAGGACAGATCTTACTGTGTAAATAAGAACATGTGTTGATGTAGCTGTGTCGTCCAAGCAACCACACAGTTCTAATTTAAATCTGCAAGCACGTTTGACAAGCTGTATACATGTTGCTCAGTAATGCCTTATATAATGAGATGGAAATGGAAGACATTAAAAGGGAATAGTAACTGAAAATGAATTTAAAAGGATTTTGAAAATGGAACTGGATTTCAAAATCTGAATGCATCTCTGCCAATTGTGGTGTACTCAGGTTTAAAAGAAGAAAGTTATCCAAGACTGTGAATGCGCAGTCTCGGAGGATAAACAGAAGGAACGGATTTTACAGTGTTTATTTTTAGGCTTCGGAATCACCATAATAGTAAAAGCACTTATTTTTCTAGCCAGGAATAAGAACATTTCTAACACTGGCACATAAAAGTAGATTAATCGAAAAGATTGCACAACATTTTCCAATGACATTTTGTGCAAACAATTGTCCCGGTATAAAAACTACACTATTCTGATTTTGTGAGTTTGGCCGATGCCTCCTTCAGGTCAGTTCACACTGCATTATAGAAATTCACATCTGAACCAGAACTTGATTTGCAATGATTATTTCATTTTTCATTATTTGTAAAATTCTAGCCAAGGAGTGGGCAGAATAAATACAAATTAATCCCCAAGGTTTAAATTAACACAGTTAAAACATTATAGCACTTATAACAAGATTGCAACTAAGAAGGTTTACCACTGTCTCTCCAAAGGAGGGATTACAGCGATATCATAAATAAAACTTGTGATAAACTGGAACTAGTCAAGAAACTCACAAGATCAACAGCAGCAATTCTCAATTTAAGAGCTGTGTTATAGTTACTCAGGCCATGTGATTTTAGCAGTGCACCTCCAGACAAAGTGACTGTGAGAAAAACCTTAAATTTATTTATTTATAAAAAATATTTTCAAAGCAAAAAAGATGTCCATCATAAAAAGAAATTAAGTATACTACCCTGTAGCAGCCTACTGAACACTATTAGAGCCTGACCTTTATGATACACCACAATAGCATTTTAATCATTTTTTTAATCAGGAAACCAATAGAAATAATGGTACATCCCATCTCAAAATATAACACATTGTTACAACAATTCAGACAACATGTTTCACCATGAGAGTGAATAAGATGTAATAGACCAGTCTACCACCAAAGGTTGGTCCCGGTTTGTCTGTTTAAATATTTTTAACCTAACCAGAGACAAAATGTTCAGCTTTCAGGTGTGCACTACAGGGGCTGTTTTTCAGTTAATGCTGCATCAAACTGAAAAGGTTACACTCCACTGCCTCTTTGTGATAAAAAGGATGAAGATCTCTTCATCAGAAATGCGCTGCTCTCCTTACCAAGAAGTGCATTAGATAACCCTACGAATACAGACCACATGAATAAAACCCAGACTCCGCTGTAAAAAGTTGCCTGAAGTTGGTGTTGAACCTGCATGTATAACAAGGCTGCAACAGCTAAAGGAAACTGTGGATTTCCTGTGTGATTGGCCACAGGTGAAAGCTGTCGGAAAGCTGGCTTCGTCCCGCGGTTTTGCTGCAGGTGTGTCCAAACAAGGCCTCTTGCTCACTGTCCCTGTGACTGCATCTGCTTGCAGAAAGCCTCAAACTGCTGCTGCTCCAGGTCAGTCATCACCTTGTTCAGGGCGTAGATCTAGCAGGACAGGCAGACAGGACACTCGTCTCAGTTTGAAAGGAAGAAAAACACTGCATTTTGCTTGTATCACACTGTAAGTAGTAATCAAACTTTTCTTAACTAGACTTCTGTCAGCTTAACCGCATCTAAAATTTGGTAAAACATGGACCGACATAACTTGTTTTCTACCAAAAATCTCAAATTCTTCAGCATCAGAAGTTAAGTCACCGTGAAGCATGAACAGGCTTGTAAGACGAGATGATTTGTGAAGAGAAACTCCCCAAATTTTAAAACATCAAGTCCAATAATTCTGTGTAATGTCTGCACTGGCACTCATGACACTCAACACAAAGAGCGCACTGTGGGGTAAGATGTTAAACTGAGATCCTGACTACTTGGTCATTGGAGATCCCGTGTCCTGATGTGGTTCTCTTCTTTCTTTTCTGATCATAGTATGGCAAGTGGTAGACAAACAGTAAAAGTGGAACAAGGTAATATTTGCATTTCTCTATTTTTCATAATGTAACTGTCTTGACAGGTGATTGACCCTTAGCTTTTCCTCAATGTTCAGATATGTGAATCCATATTCTGGCAGACATTCTGCAAGACAACTATCTTATATACTATATGTAGTATAGTCCAACAATTATGTTAAAACCTACTGGGTACATTTTTATCTGTATATTCAACCCACAAAGCAAACTTGTGGGGTTCCATAGGGCAGAGATTTTAATTTCACTCCTGGAACAAAATACAGAACACAAGATGCAGAACAGTGGTGCTGGTCTCTTGTCTCTATACCCATTTAAGGAGACCTTGAGAATCTTTAGAACTGAATGTTTTTAATCTTGTACAGAGAAAATTATGGAAGGACTGACAAAACACATCTCAATGGACTTCTTGAAAGTAAATTGTGATTCAAGAACCAGTGGAGACAAGGGAAAGAGCATTTAAAACTGAGAACAGGAGGCACATCTTTACTTAATGGGTTGTGGAAGTATGGAACTGGCAACCCAGCCTTGTAGAGGAATCTGATATCCTGGTTTCTTTCAAGAAAAGACTGGATTAATTAGCTACTTAAGTGCCAAATGAGTCAGATGGTCTCTGTGTCTAAGATTGGCCTTAGTTCTAACGGTTGCTTAATTAAAGGAGAACTGTAACGCTATTTTTATATTTTGGGGTTAGAAAGATGAGTGCAAATCAAACCACAATAAAAGTATGTAATGTACACAGTAACTTGTAAAACCTCCAATCTAGATGACAAAATAGACAACATTTCCGGGTATGTGCAGCACCATGTTCTGCGATTCAGAACGAGGCAACAGAATTTCCGGTGATGTGAAGCGGTGCTATTACACTGTGAACAAGCAGGCTAGTGAAGACATGTCTTTTAATCCAGTAGAATTACTGCTCTCATCTTTTCACGATTCACGAAAAAATTGCTTAGTTCGAAATTTGTCAGTTTTCGGTACCTTCAATGAATTTATTTTCTTACCGAGATCTAATAACGAGTCTGTGAAATTGGGACTGCAGTTCCCCTTTAAGTGGAGTCAACATACTGTATTTCCATCCGAGTGAACTGAATTTTTAAAGCACTCTGTAGGACTGCAGGACTGCAGTTCTATATGAACAGGGCTGCAGATCCCCAGTGTAGGTGTAGGGTGGCCACCAGGCAATAAACTGGACACTTTCAGACAGAACAGAAGTTTGAAGTTTGAAGTTACTGAAACTGAAAGCAAAAAACCTTTATACACGAAAACAAAAACATGTTCTAAACATATCAATCGCCTCAATACTCGGACAATAAAATAGTCAAAGGAAATAAAAACAAGTAGTTGCAGGGTCACTATTGATACCTATTATTCATTTTTCTTTTTTTTATATGACCTGCTGTGATCAGCTGTTCATGAATCCCATCACTGATCAGAACAAGCACAGCTGTTCAGTCACTATTTGGTTTGGGAGATCAGTGCAGCTTGGAGCTATTGATCAGTATTCAGTTGATAACAAAAAGCAAATTTCAAATAATGGTGATTAAAACAAAATAATTTAAAGATGCAGTTTAACTGCTGATTTTTGTAAAACCATATGAAGGTGGGATATAATTAGCTAACAATGATCAATTTGAATTCTGATCTGGTCCAGGTGTCCACTTTTCTGGAGTCTGGTTGCTATAATATTACTATATTACTATGACATTCAGGTTCCAGGAAGGTGATGCAAATCTCTCACACCAGCCATGTGCTGCCTGCCACTGAATCTATTAACTTTGCTCCTCCTATATTTTGTTCAACAGGTTCACATGATCCAAGTATCTAAAGTCCAAACCTCTGCTCTCTGTCGTTGCTTTAGTTCCTGTTGGGCAGACTTCTGTTTGGCTTTGTCCCCGCGATTTGGGGTCTCCTTCTGTTTCTGCTTGTCTTTGCGGCAGGCTGGCTCCATGACTGCTTCTCCTTGGGCCTGGGAAGAAGGTGACGCGGGGAGAGAGAACATGAATGAGACCATAGGTTCCCTATGATCTAAACCGAATACTCAGCATGAAGCAGTCATACTGTAACAAGAGCAGCACAAATTCAAATTTAGACCCAAGAGAACTGAGACCACGAAAAAACAGCCGAAAAATAAGACAACACTGTATTAAACATTTACAGGGCACATTGAGATTTATTTTCACCTGGTAAACCACGACTCATTGGCAATCAGTATCTGTTCTTAGATTTTGTTTTACTACTGTAACACTCACAGCAGTACTTGAAGGATGATGATCATGCATGTCTAATTTATTGACGAAGAATCTCAATATAGTTTACTATAGTATCTTTGAATCTTACAAAGCACTTTTACTTTTAACTCACCTGTATGATACCGTACAGATGTTTACCAAGAAAGTGTTAGAAATCACTTCATAAATTACAGGAAGAATCCTAACACTCAGGATCTAGGGAGCTGTGGCCAAACTACTGAACACTGACTGCCCTCACGGTTTTACAGGCCAGCCTGAAACCAGCAATTTGTAAAGATTAGGAACATGTGAGATTGGATCAATGTGGTACTGTATATTCAACAACCAATTTTATTCTTACACAGCACCTTTCAATACAAGGCATTCTAAAGGCAATTTTTATAAATTACACTCATAAAACAGTAAACAGAAAATACACTGCAACCAGATATAAGTGAGAAATTAAAAGAAATAGGTTAAGACTTAACTTAAGTGTTTCAATTAAGTCAGAAACAGCATTAAGTGATCCAGGTGTTGTTGCTTTACTTTCAAATCATCTCACTGCTATTCAACTCAATAAAGCCCCCTTAGTGAGATAAGAATAAAACTTTTTAGAGTGTAGAAATTGATCGCTGTTGGGCGACCCTGCTGAATTTTGGTTTTCTGGGACCTAGCTCCATGAAATCCAGATACAATTATGCTGGGACCACTGTAGCTCCCAGGAGATTTCCTTTCTGCCCGATTCTTCTCCTTCGCTGTTCTTTCAGCAGTTTTAACATCAATGGGAGAGACTACCTAGTGAGTATCTACCCAAGGCGCCTTACAACTACAGGACTGTAAACAGTAAAAGTAACCCCTAACGTATAAAGCAAATGTGGAGTGATTAATCCTAGACTACAATACCACAACAGAGAAAGTACAGAAAAATCTTAAAAGCCCAATGTGCCATGGTAACTAGAAATAGAAACAGTATTTTTTAATAATATTATTATTTTTCGCGGACCCCTCCTCAGCTTCTGTTGTTTCGATTCTTATACATGTAAAAACAACTCACGTCATAAATCACTCCATGATTCTTTTTACAAACACGACGATATACAGTACATCGGGTCTGTTAAGAATTCCATACTAGATGCATGTAAAACATCGCGTTATTTTATTCCACAGCTGCCAAAATCTCACTTGTTCTGTTTTGTCACGGAGAGGAATGTTGTCCATTTTCTAACAACCTGTGGAAGTAAAAAAATCTGGAACAGGAGGGAAATCTCTTTTTACAGAGTATGCCTAACTTAAGAAAAAAAACATTTTTTGGCGTTAAGAAAAAAAAAAGTTACTCTTACAGAAACTGTCTTGTATCCATGCAAGCAACTTTCGTTTTAAGGGTAAGTAAATGCAACTTTAGTGACGATACACTGGACCAAGAACTTGACATTAAGCTCGTCTATTTGCAAATACACATCTTACAGATATTAACTCAGAAATACACCATGTTATAAAAATAACACTACCTTGTTTAAAACCGTAATACCGCGTTACTTCGTTATTTCTAACAATGAATTTTCAACCAGTCTACTCTCCATTCAGTTGTGTGGTGCACTTCCTAGTGTGTCGCTGTAATGTTTCCGGTTGCCTAAAGACCTCGTTCACTACGTTCCGCCGCTTGGGAAAGGTGAGTACATGAGCTGGACTGTTAAGGTCACCTATTACTGGATTCTTTATACTGTATACTCTCTGGGTTTAATAATGACTTTATCAAATAGTATGGTCTTGTTTATAAAATGAATTTAATACATGTAAAGCAGGGGTCTTCAGCTTTGAAATTAGTTTTGAATTTTCAATCGCCATTAAATTAATTTTAAAAGCGTATTTATGGCCTTAATGAGGTTTGGGGAAGTCTTTACCAGTATAGTCTTATTGTGTTATAAATGATTTGCGACCTTCTTAGAAATGTCTTATAGTTTTTTCTTATAAACCACAAGCTTGTGCACACAGAGAAGACGAAAACCTGCAAAACTCTTAGCAGATTTACCACAAGAGGACCCCCTTGTTACACGATAAACCAGAGCGAAACGTTGAAAGTCATATTCTCTGCACCTTCGTTGTGTATTTGAAACTCACAATACCACCCCCTGACTGGGGTTGCTTACCACTTTAGTTGGTTGTGTTGCAACCAAAATGAGTTTGAAGAAAGAAAAAACGTGACTACAGTTAACTTAGTTATAGGAAACTGTTTACCAGACATTGTGTGACAACCCGGTCTAGTTACCTGTTGATATTTCTTAGGTAAATTAAGAGCAATATTATAATTTGTAAAGTGCCAGTGAATGCTAATTTAAGAGGGTCCATGGCAAAGTCATTACGTTCTGATTTCTTTTTGATCCCTGTGAATTGTTTTCTAGTTTTATTTTGTCCAGTTTATCCATAAACACTTAGTTTACAAAAAACGCCTCTGCATTAATTATCTTTAGACCGCAGAGAATTATAGTTGCATGCATTACAATACAACATATTCTATTGTTTCAGTTCTCAACTGTTGCGTTTTTAATAAATATTAATTTAATTAATACGCAGATTTAATAAGTGTATATTCTATATATACTGTCTATATCACAGTATGTCCTGGTTTAAACTATGTATAAAAATTGACATTAACCCAGTTCCTCAGCTGTATTTTTAAATTATAAAGAGACATGCTTCTTAAGTTCGGCTAAATGAAACCCGCGGTCCTGATTAAATCATATTGTCTATCGACCCATCAATAGCAAATTCCAAACCCACTAATGGGTTGATGCAGAAACCCTCTGGCACACGGGGTGGCCACGGAGTGACATATTTGGAATGAGCTGCTGCCGTGTGGGTTGAGGTTTTGATTGAATCCGGGCTAAGGCATATACATGTAACACAATCACCCCGAATCACGACAAACCCCTCGCCCCCAGCCGTTTTTTCGGTTTCAAACGATTCGCAAATTTAACACCATCAGTTTCTAAATGGTATACTAGTTCATACAAGACGTTATGCCACATAAAGTGAAAATTTAGACGTACTGTACATCTTTTGGCTTTCTAAGTTACAGTTGCAAAGCAATTTTTACATGATTCTGTTTAATTACAATTAATGTGAATAATTAGTGTTATTAATATTAATATTTGGAGTTTTTGTTTCAGAAGGTGTGGCTTTCAGTTTTCAGATTGCAGTATTCTGCTACTAGTCTTTTCTTTTCTGTTATTTACTGTATACTCTAAAGTGCTGAGAAGTCATTAAATACCATTTGCTGATCAAATATTTATGCTGGAGAGCATTCTTTGTGTTGGATAGACATAAACAGTGCATCCGTGATTGATCATTCTGAACTACCAGCAATAGCTTTTTTATTGCTATTATTTATTAGTATTTCCTTGCACTATTTACAGATTACCTCATGTCACAAATTCTTTTCATTCACCAAAAAAAGTGCTTAGTGTCTCTTTGCGGAAATGATTTTTCCCCGATATGTGAACTGTCTGCTTTTCCTGAAACAGTTTGATATTGGTGTACTTACAATATTTGTTCTACTACAAGTCTGTTTCATATTTTCTATGCCTATCACAGGAAAAAAAAACACTCCCATAAACCTTTTTTTCTGTCAGTCGATTTTCTTTGAAAAAACATACTCTGTCAGGGACGATGTTGTTATCCAATTAAAATGGGCACTGGCAGACAGTTTTTCTAAGTTTCATGTTAGTACACTAGTGGTAGTTTTTGCCTCAGGTCTCTTGTACATAACATCTGAACTGGGTTTTGGTCTGAGATTATCCACCTGTTGGCAGTACTCCACATCTTAAGGGTCGTGATTTCGGTCTGTTTACTGAGCTCCAGGAGAGAGACCTCTCTAACACACCGCTGTCATTGGCAAAGTGTTTTTTTTTAAGTTTGGTTCTGCACAAACAATTTCAAAGGCCCCTAAAATTAATCTTTATTGACAAGTTTCTCCACTGGAAATGAAATCTAATAATGTCCTATACAGACACCAATGGATTTCTTAAAAGGATAATTGAAACGTTTAAAGGAAACTCTAAAGAAAACAGAAACCTTGTGTTTGGTTTAATTTTACACAACACATTCAAGGCCAAACATTTTAGTTGAGGTTAAGTTTGTTTTTACAAGGGTGCTATTAAGAAATTTTTCTACCACCCTGTACTGTTGACAGAATCTCTGCATTTCTTAAATTAAATTGAGATACTGACAGAAGCATGCTAAGAGTTACAATTAAAATACGATCCCATTGTGTAAACATGACACCTTTCAGAGCATTTTAGAATTCTGTCACATTGTAGTGTTCATAATAAATCACTAAAGATTTGAGATTCTTAACAGGTCTTGGCAAAAAAAATATCTGTAATTTGAGATTATCTGTCAGATCTCTGAATTTCGTAGCGTCTGACTTTGGATAATATTTGTTTAATATACATGTAAATAGCAATGAAATCTTGACAAAAAAGGCAATGTTGTGTTCCCAGTCAGTGTCATCTTAGAGCTCAAATGACAAGTACATTCATATGTCTGCAGTCTCCAGACACAGCAGAGAGGCACTAATAATTACTTGGACTAATCAAGTGGCAGTTGTTCAGATACCCAAAGACCACCCAGGGAAAAAAATAAAAAAAGTTTCTTATTACACATCGCTGACTAAACTTTATTATGACACGCCAGGGTGGTTTGAAATACTGTTTGGAGCTTAATACCAAAGGAAATTCCAGATACAACTGCAATTGCAACTGCTAATGCTTTAATTCAACTTGAGTACACTTGAACAGCCAAGTCAGAACTCTCTAGACTAAAATATTGTAGAGAACCTCTGTGATCATCGACTGGCTACATATGAATATCACAACTCTCCAATCCTCAATCACTTTAATCTGAATGTATTTTCAAGTTGCCCTTATTCATTGGGATTTCAGAAAAGAGCTGACTTTATTATTGATTGATCCGAGCAGCAACATATAACAAAGAGGGTTATGTTTTTTGTATCGAATAAGTAAAAAGTAGGTACTGTACATGAACTGACCTAAGTGGCAGGGCACATAGTAAAATGGGAATGAAGAAAACACAAGTCCATATGTGCTGTTAGTAAAAATTGACATGATACAGGGTGCACCGGTGATACAGGCTTATGTAACCCAAGGGGTTATATTATACTGTAAGTAGTTTAGGCTAGTAATGCATTACTAGGGAGCAAATGTCAAATGCTAACTTCAGTTCAATGCTACATGAAGGAAAGGAAAGACTAGAAATGTCTTTTGTCCAGTCCTCAGTTTTGAAATGATGCCCCTGATCCAGTCAATGCAGGCTCTCCTGTGTGCAATTTAGAAAGCCCTTCATGAAAAATAATGGGCAGATGAGATGGAAAAGCTGAGATGAAAAGCTCCAAATGTGGAGGCAGGAAAGATTAAAAAAAATACCTGGAGATTCCAAAGTTAATCTGCATTCAGATGTGTTACCGTGACTTATGGATTCACAGCAAGCACAGGATCCTCTATGTACCCAGGCACAATGGAGTATTAGCTTTAGGCTTAAGACCTGAGGTTAGCAAGAGTGCAGGAATCCTTCACTATAATCAGACACATCCAGGTATATAGTATGTAAGTATTGCCCAATATTACCCTGCCAGTAGACACAAGGTTTCCACTCTTGAACCAAGAAATGACATTTCTGAGAAATTGATTGAAGGAAAGGTACAGAAAAGGTTGTCCTTTGTGCAGTTATTTCTTCACCTCTGTACCAGGCTCAGTGACGTAACTCCAGGAAGCACCTACAGGACACGTCACTTGTATGATCCATCCATTTTCTGAACTCGGCATATTCCCGGTGAACCTACCCCTGTCACGAAGGGGTACAAGGCAGGATGCCACTCAAGACAGGTACACTTGCCCTGGACAGACCACTCACACACAAAGCAAGAGACTCCAGTTAACCAAATGAACATGCGTCCACATTTGAATCTAACCCAGTTCCCAGCATCTGTGAGACAGCAGTGCTGCCTGTCATTCCATCATCAGGCCTTTTATTTATGTTTAGCATTACGGAGCTTAGCATTAGTATTTTTAGGAGAAAAGACTTGTGAGACAGGTTATTTGCTCAATACAGTACACGACTCTTACCATATTCATGTTATTTTTTAACTTATCTTCTAGTCCCTTTGAAAAGCTGAAAGCTAAATTCTCTTTCTGAATTGATTATTTGATGTGCAGGCTTAATCAAGCAGCTTACCTCATCTGGTTTACGACTGGATTTGTCAGTTCTAGACTCTGTGGTCAAACCTAGAGCATTAAAAGGGGTGATTCTATTTGCTACTTTGGTGACTTCTGTAAAAATGTTTTAGAAGCATTTTCTTTAAAGAGAGTAACATCTGGCGACAGGTAATTGATGTTGTTGTGTTCTTTTTTGCAGTGAATGCCGCAAGCATCATAACTGGGCTTTAAATTTATTATGTCACATTCCATTGTGCTTTTTTAGATTCCGATCCCGAACATATAGATGCATTTTCTCTGTAATAATAACCAGAAAAGAACAGCTGATCCTAAGTAAAACACACGGTAGGCTCCTCCAATACATCTTCCATCGGGCAGAGCAGCTTAAAGCAACTCTAACTCTTTAAGAAAAACAGAGCTCTTCATCTGGGTGTCTGGA